ATCTATTGTATATGAAAAATAATATGAAAATATCTGATTAAATTTATGCAAATCTATTACTTTCCAGTAGTAAAGTTATAAATTTACGTAATTAAAAGTTGACGAAACTTTAAAGAACTATTCTTCTTGCTTCTGGCAAATTTAATCTGATATAATCAGATTCGTTGAGTGTATTTTCATATAAAATGTCTACTATACAATCAGATGGATTTTTAATAATGCTCTTTCAAAACTGCATGTAATAATTCAAGTCATATGACGTCTGGTCATCATGGAGAATTTGGCTAAAATTTGGTAACCAAAAAAACATACGGGCGAAAATCTCCAATTTCAGTGATGATTTAACGAAGTGATTAGGTTAAATAAAATTTGAGCCAATCATTTATGTGATATGTCATGATTATTGAGAATAAAAAATTTAACAGTAATTTTATAATAAAATCGGTGTATTTTTAACTTGTGTTCTAATGAAGCAACTTAAATTCTGTAACTTGTAAATGAAGTACTGTGAATATGGGTTTAAAACTATTTTCCATTTTATTTTTAAAAAATAGATAACATTTAAAAAAGGGAAATTCTATTTTCACCCGGACTAATCCATCCCTAACAATAACTAGTGAATAGGGTATATATTAGCCAAGTTTTCCAAAGAATACGTAATTATACTAGTAATAACGTAATTTAGCATAATTTATGTCTGCTAATATAAAATAGTATCGTTAAAAAAAAATTATTTAATATTCGCCGTACCTCCGGATTTAGGTCTAGTTGGATGGAATTAGGATTAATACGTACTGTAGGAGTATTTATAAACTTATAATGATATCTATAATCATTATCTCATTGGTTCTATACTCGTACGTAAAATTTCGTTGGTAGAAAGTTATCATTAAATAGTTTTACTTTTAAATTACTACAGTAACGTTATTTTTATTAATTAATTATTATACGTATTAATAATACTATGTTAATAGCTGTAATGAAAAAAATATTGCTAAGGAAAAGCATTGATATGTATAAACTAGAAAGAAAGACCCATCATCATATATACAAAAGTTTATGCCCACGAAATATAATAGATATGTTATGCGTCAAATTAATATCCGTGTCAGATTAAAATAATTATAATCCCACTAATACATATCCTTACCCTAACATAGACTCCTAATAAAACTCTGTATTTAAATTTTGATCTGAAGCAAAAATTTAATCTGACGCATAACAAATATAAAAACAGCCATTAACAAAAACTAAAATTTACTAATAAAATTTTTAGAACAACTATTTATAAAGTAGTAAAAAATTGAGAAGATTGATGAATTGAAGAATAGTCCAATCCGCTAATATTAAAGAATTGTTTTTCGTATGGATCCGAAGTTCTTTCATTACTACTATTGTATCCACTATCACCTGAATCATCATCATCTTCCTCTTCAATTATAGTTGTTAAATAACCATATTCTGAATTCATAATTTCATGAGATTCATACTCAAATCGCATTTCTGACTCATCTTCCTCAAAGATTGTAGGTACGCTAGGCTGTAACTGCAACATTTTTTGCCGCCTGCAAAACCTTTTTCGCATTATAAATGAAGAATCTTTATCATCTTTAGCATCAATTATTCGATCATTCCTTATTACAGGATTTTTTTGTAAATCATCCAATACTCGTTCCAATTCATCTTGATTATACAAAATGTTTTGAAAAACCTTGGATTTTTTTAATCGTTCTCTCAAACGTAATTGTTGCTTAATAAATTGACTTGACCACCAACATTGTAATGTATAAATTATAGAAAATAAACTTGTAGTTGAATAATCAAATTCTCTCTGAGAATTTGATTTTAATGTCAATGAATTTTTATTTCCATTATTATTATCAAATAATTTTGAATTATTTATCAAACCTCGTCGATAATTATAATA